TCAGAGGGTTCAGTCCATGGTCAGCTGCTCCAATGGTCTCAGAGGGTTCAGGCCATGGTCGGCTGCTCCAGTGGTCTCAGAGGGTTCAGTCCATGCTCAGCTGCTCCAATGGTCTCAGGGGGTTCAGTCCATGGTCGGCTGCTCCAAGGCAGGAACATCATGGTGGACGGGAAGCAGAGAGAACTAGAAAGGAAGGAGTTGGGGGCTGGATATTGTCCCCAGATTCACACCTCCATGATCTATTCCTTACCTGCGTTTCCCTCACCCCCAGTAATGCCATCAAAATTAATGATTCATTGGTGAGTTAATCTATCTATGAAATCAGAGTCTCATGATCCAATCAGCTTCTAGCGGCCCTACCACATCAATTTTTTTTTGGCAGTTCAGTATCGAACCCTGCGCCTTTGCCCTGAGCTCCACCCCCAACCTCTTTTCATTTTTATTTTGAGACAGGGTCTCTCTGAGTTGCTAAGTTTCCCAGCCTGGACTTGATCTGGACATCCTCCCGCCTCAGCCTCCTTGTGTGCTGAGACCACAGGGTCTGCTCCACCATGCCGGGCTTTATCATTTTCAGACTTTGTGGCCCCTGAGGACAGAAACTGTGGAGAAGAAAACCAAGCCTTAAGGGGGTTCCTGTCTTACCAGTGGCAAGGGAAGCTGCACATCATTACTAAGATGATGAGAGTTGGAAAGTGGACCCTGGTGTTTAGAAAGCAAACACACCCAATTCCCACGTGTCGGTTTCTTTTGCTGTTGATCTCCAGTTATCGGCACTATGGTCTGATAATATACAGGGGATAACTTCAGTTCCTTTGTACTTACTTGAACACCTTCTGCGAGCGAACATGTGGTCTATTTTGGAGAAAAAGAATGTGTCCTGATTTTGAGGGGTGGAGCACTCTGTAGATATCAATCAAGTCCATTTGTTCAGAGGCTCGGTTCAGTTCTAGTGTTTCGTTGGTGATCTTCTGTCTAGATACTCTCTGTTTGTGGCAGTGGGGAGCTGAGGTCCACACTGCTGTTGCATCAGTGCTTATTTGGGTTTTCACTTCCACTGAGATTTGTCTTGTACAGTTGCAGGCATTCGTATTTGGTGCATATATAGTTATGAATGTTGTCTCTTCCTGTCTCACTTCACGCCAGGAACACGGCGATTTCAGCCCAGCTGTGCTGAAGACCTGGACACACACAGAATAACCGGAGAAGAAACCTTCCCTCGGGGTGCTGAAGGTCCCTCGATTTCGTGCACAGCCGCGTCCCTGTAGAGAGACAGTGGGGAGCGGTTGAAATCTGCGCCTTGTTCTTACTTCAGCAACTGGAGATGCACTGCACTGCGGCGGGTTTGCCAGGCGTCTTTGGCCATCCAGTTTCTCCCACCTGGTAGTACTGCTCCTCTCACCTTCTCTTTCCGAGGTTGAACTGGATGCGTTCAGCTGTGACCATGGCCTGTGAGTGTGCGCACGCACGTGTGTGAGAAAC